ACTGGTAGCTTGATGGGGATGGCATTGAATCTATAAATTACCTTGGGCAGTATGGCCATTTTCACTATATTGATTCTTCCTGTCCATGAGCATGGTATGTTCTTCTATTTGTTTGTGTCCTCTTTGATTTCACTGAGCAGTGGTTTGTAGTTCTCCTTGAAGAGGTCCTTTACATCCCTAGTAAGTTGGATTCCTAGGTATTTTATTCTCTTTGAAGCTATTGTAAATGGAAGTTCATTCATGATTTTGCTCTCTGTCTGTTACTGGTGTATAAGAATGCTTGTGATTTTTGCACATTGATTTTGTATCCTGAGACTTTGCTGAAGTTTCTTATCAGCTTAAGGAGATTTTGGGCTGAGATGATGGGGTTTGCTAAATATATAATCATGTCATCTGCAAACAGGGACAATTTGACTTCTTCTTTTCCTAACTGAATACCCTTTATTTCTTTCTCTTGCCTGATTGCCCTAGCCAGAACTTCCAACACTGTTGAATAGGAGTGGTGAGAGAGGGCATCCTTGTCTTGTGCCAGTTTTTAAAGGGAATGCTTCCATTTTTTGCCCATTCAGTATGATATTGGCTGTGGGTTTGTCATAAATAGCTCCTATTATTTTGAGATACATTCCATCAATACCGAATTTATTGAGAGTTTTTAGCGTGAAGGGCTATTGAATTTTGTCAAAGACCTTTTCTGCATCTATTGAGATAATCATGTGGTTTTTGTCTTTGGTTCTGTTTATCTGCTGGATTACGTTTATTGATTTGCATATGTTGGACCAGCCTTGCATCCCAGGGATAAAGCCCACTTGATCATGGTGGATAAGCTTTTTGATGTGCTGCTGGATTCGGTTTGCCAGTATTTTATTGAGGATTTTTGTATCAATGTTCATCAGGGATATTGGTCTAAAATTCTCTGTTTTTGTTGTGTCTCTGCCAGGCTTTGGTTTTGGGATGATGTTGGCCTCATAACATGAGTTAGGGAGACTTCCCTCTTTTTCTATTGATTGGAATAGTTTCAGTAGGAATGGTACCAGCTCCTCCTGGTACCTCTGGTAGAATTTGGCTGTGAATCCGTCTGATCCTGGACTTTTTTTGGTTGGTAGGCTATTAATTATTGCCTCAATTTCAGAGCCTGCTATTGGTCTATTCAGGGATTCAACTTCTTCCTGGTTTAGTCTTGGGAAAGTGTAAGTGTCCAGGAAATTATCCATTTCTTCTAGGTTTTCTAGTTTATCTGTGTAGAGGTGTTTATAGTATTCTCTGATGATAGTTTGTATTTCTGTGAGGTCGGTGGTGATATCCCCTTTATCATTTTTTATTGCGTCTTTTTTATTCTTCTCTCTTTGCTTCTTTATTAGTCTTGCTAGTGGTCTATCAATTTTGTTGATCTTTTCAAAAAACCAACTCCTGGATTCATTGAGTATTTGGAGGAGTTTTTTGTGTTTCTCTATCTCCTTCAGTTCTCCTCTGATCTTAGTTATTTCTTGCCTTCTGCTAGCTTTTGAATGTGTTTGCTCTTGTTTCTCTAGTTCTTTTAATTGTGATGTTAGGGCATCGATTTTAGATCTTTCTTGCCTTCTCTTGTGGGTATTTAGTGCTATAAATTTCCCTCTACACACTGCTTTAAATGTGTCCCAGAGATTCTGGTATGTTGTGTCTTTGTTCTCATTGGTTTCAAAGAACATCTTTATTTCTGCCTTCATTTTGTTATATACCCAGTAGTCATTCAGGAGCAGGTTGTTCAGTTTCCATGTAGTCTAGCGGTTTTGATTGAGTTTCTTAGTCCTGAGTTCTAGTTTGATTGCACTGTGGTCTGAGAGACAGTTTGTTATGATTTCTGTTCTTTTACATTTGCTGAGGAGTGCTTTACTTCCAACTATGTGGTCAATTTTGGAATAAGTGCAATGTGGTGCTAAGAAAGATGTATATTCTGTTGATTTGGGGTGGAGAGTTCTGTAGATGTCTATTAGGTCCGCTTGGTGTGGAGTTGAATTCACTTCCTGGATATCCTTGTTAACTTTCTGTCTCGTTGATCTGTCTAATGTTGACAGTGGGGTGTTGAAGTCTCCCATTATTATTGTATGGGAGTCTAAGTCTCTTTGTAAGTCTCTAAGGACTTGCTTTATGAATCTGGGTGCTCCTGTATTGAGTGCATATATATTTAGTGTAGTTAGCTCTTCTTGTTGAATCGATCCCTTTCCCATTATGTAATGGCCTTCTTTGTCTCTTTTGATCTTTGATGGTTTAAAGTCTGTTTTATCAGAGAGTAGGATTGCAACCCCTGCTTTTTTTTTTTGTTCTCCATTTGCTTGGTAAATCTTCCTCCATCCCTTTATTTTGAGCCTATGTGTGTCTCTGCATGTGAGATGGGTCTCCTGAATACAGCAAACTGATGGGTTGACTCTTTATCCAATTTGCCAGTCTGTGTCTTTTAATTAGACCATTTAGTCCACTTACATTTAAGGTTAATATTGTTATGTGTGAACTTGATCCTGTCATTGTGTTATTAGGTGGTTATTTTGCTCGTTAGTTGATGCGGTTTCTTCCTAGCATCGATGGTCTTTATGTTTTGGCATGTTTTTGCAATGGCTGGTACCAGTTGTTCCTTTCCATGTTTAGTGCTTCCTTCAGGAGCTCTTGTAGGGCAGGCCTGGTAGTGACAAAATCTCTAAGAATTTGCTTGTCTGGAAAGGATTTTATTTCTCCTTCACTTATGAAAGTTACTTTGGCTGGATATGAAATTCTGGGTTGAAAATTCTTTTCTTTAAGAATGTTGAATATTGGCCCCCACTCTCTTCTGGCTTATAGAGTTTCTGCCAAGAGATCTGCTGTTAGTCTGGTGGGCTTCCCTTTGTGGGTAACCCGACCTTTCTCTCTGGCTGCCCTTGACATTTTTTCCTTCATTTCAACTTTGGTGAATTTGACAATTATGTGTCTTGGAGTTGCTCTTTTCGAGGAGTATCTTTCTGTTGTTTGTATTTCCTGAATTTGAATGTTGGCCTGCCTGACTAGGTTGGGGAAATTCTCCTGAATAATATCCTGCAGAATGTTTTCCAACTTGGTTCCATTTTCCCTGTCACTTTCAGGCACCCCAATCATATGTAGATTTGGTCTTTTCACATAATCCCATATTTCTTGGAGGCTTTGTTCATTTCTTTTTCCTCTTTTTTCTCTAGGCTTCTCTTCTCACTTCGTTTCATTCATTTGATCTTCAATCATTGATACTCTTTCTTCCAGTTGATCGAGTCGGTTACTGAAGCTTGTGCATTTGTCATGTATTTCTTGTGTCATGGTTTTTATCCCTATCAGTTCATTTATGGCCTTCTCTGCATTGATTATTCTAGTTATCCATTTGTCCATTCTTTTTTCAATATTAATTTCTTTGTGCTGAGTACGTAGTTCCTCCTTTAACTCTGAGAAGTTTGATCGACTGAAGGCTTCTTCTCTCAGCTCTTCAAAGTCATTATCTGTCCAGCTTTGATCCATTGCTGGCGATGAGCTGTGTTACTTTGAAAGGGGAGATGTGCTGTGATTTTTTGAATTTCTAGCTTTTCTACCCTGCTTTTTCCCCATCTTTGTGGTTTTATCTGCCTTTGGTCTTTGAAGATGGTGACTTACTGATGGGGTTTTGGTGTGGGTGTCCTTTCTGTTAGTTTTCCTTCTAACAGTCAGGACCCTCAGCTGTAGGTCTGTTGGAGACTGCTTGAGGTCCACTCCAGACCCTGTTTGCCTGGTATCAGCAGTGGAGGCTGCAGAAGATAGAATATTGCTGAACAGCAAGAGTTGCTGTCTGATTCTTGCTCTGAAAGCTTCGTCTTAGGGGTGTACCCTGCCGTGTGAGGTGTGAGGTGTCGGTCTGCACCTAGTGGGGGATGTCTCCCAGTTAGGCTACTCAGGGGTCAGGGACCCACTTGAGCAGGCAGTCTGTCCGTTCTCAGATCTCAACCTCCATGCTGGGAGATCCACTGCTGTTTTCAAAGCTGCCAGACAGGGTCACTTATATCTGCAGAGGTTTCTGCTGCTTTTTGTTTAGCTATGCCCTGTCCCCACAGGTGGAGTCTACAGAGTCAGGCAGGCCTCCTTGAGCTGCGGTGGGCTCCACCCAGTTCGTGCTTCCTGGCAGCTTTGTTTACCTACTTAAGCCTCAGCAATGGCGGGTGCCCATCCCCCGGCCTCGCTGCCACCTTGCAGTTAGATCTCAGACTGCTGTGCTAGCAATGAGGGAGGCTCTGTGGGTGTGGGACCCTCTGGGCCAGGTGTGGGATATAATCTCCTGGTGTGCCGTTTGCTGAGACCCTTGGTAAAGTGCAGTATTAGGGTGGGAGTTACCCAATTTTCCAGGTGTTATATGTCTCAGTGTCCCTTGGCTAGGAAAAGGGATTCCCTTCCCCCTTGCACTTCCAGGTGAGGCAATGCCTCGCCCTGCTTCAGCTCTTGCTGGTCGGGCTGCAGCAGCTGACCAGCACCGATTGTCCAGCACTCCCCATTGAGATGAACCTGGTACCTCAGTTGAAAATGCAGAAATCACCCGTCTTCTGTGTCGCTTGCGCTGGGAACTGGAGGCTGGAGCTGTTCCTATTTGGCCATCTTGCTCCGCATCCCTGCATCTCTATATCTATCAAAAGTGCCATAATACTTGTAATAGAAGTAGTGAATAATTTATTCTTCAATTTAGGTAATTTCTTTCCTCCTAGGAACACAAAATAAAACACATAACAACTTTCTAATAACAAAATTTTTATCAGTCACTGGAACAATCCAGCAGGGGAGGATTAAGAGGGAAAAAAATAGGAAAGAGTGAACCAAGAACAAGAAAGGTACGGAAAAACACTAATGGAGGGAGGCTTCTAGGGGTAAGAAAAGCAAATTTTAATAAAATAAAAAACATTATGGCACCCAGTCCTGGGTCTTACTTTTAAAAATACTTCAAGTAACACAGCTTTAAAAACATTTATAAAATAATATTATGAAATTTTAGTTCTCTCTTGTTTCCTTAACAGATATGGAAAAAATGAATCAAAGAGACCAACCATTCATGACAATTCAGAGAAATGATAGCTCAGGTATTTTTCCTACTTCCAACTCTGTTTTATTGTTTGCACTGGATTATGTACTTTTGAAATGATATACAATTGGAATGTTGATTTTTCAAAAATTTAATAATGGAAAGCTTACTTTCTGGTTACATTGAATGACTGGCCAGTTCCTTACAATGGGTTTGTTTTAATCCTCAACAGTGGTTAGGATACCCTTGCTGCCTTCACCTTCTTCTTCTCCTTCTCCTTCTCCTTCTCCTTCTCCTTCTCCTCCTCCTCCTTCTCCTCCTCCTCCTCCTCCTTCTTCTTCCTCTTCCTCCTCCTCTTCCTCCTCCCCTTCTTCCTCCTCCCCCTCTTCCTCCTCCCCCTCTTCCTCCTCCTCCTCTTCCTCTTCCTCCTCTTCCTCATCCTCCTCTTCCTCTTCCTCCTTCTTCTTCCTCCTTCTTCCTCCTCCTCCTCCTCCTCTTCTTCTCCTCCTTCTTCTTTTTCTTCTTCTTCTTCTTCTTCTTCTTCTTCTTCTTCTTCTTCTTCTTCTTCTCCTTTCCTTCTTCCTCCTTCTTTCCTTCCTCTCTTCTCTTCTTTCTCCTTCCTTTCTTCCTTTCTTCTTCCTTTTTTCTTATCTTTTTTCTTCTTCTTCTTCTTCTTCTTCTTCTTCTTCTTCTTCTTCTTCTTCCTCCTCCTCCTCCTCCTCCTCCTCCTCCTCTTCCTCCTCCTCCTCCTCCTCCTCCTTTAACTTCTGGGGAACATGTACAGAACGTGCAGGTTTGTTACATAGGTATACATATGCCATGGTGGTTTGCTGCGCCCAGCAACCCATCCTCTACATTAGGTATATCTCCTAATGCTATCCCTCCCCTAGGCCCCCACCCCCCAACAGGCCCCGGTGTGTGATGTTCCCCTCCCTGTGTCCATGTGTTCTTATTGTTCAACTACCACTTATGAATGAGAACATGTAGTGTTTGGTTTGCTGTTCTTATGTTAGTTTGCTGAGAGTGATGGTTTCTAGCTTCATCCATATCCCTGCAAAGGACATGAACTCATCCTTTTTTATGGCTGCTTAGCATTCCATGGTGTATATGTGGCACATTTTCTTCAACCAGTCTATCATTGATGAGAATTTGGGTTGGTTTCAAGTCTTTGCTATTGTGAACAGTGCCGCAATAAACATACTTGTGCATGTGTCTTTATAATAGAATGATTTATAATCCTCTAGGTATATACCCAGTAATGGGGTTGCTGAATCAAATGGTATTTCTGGTTCTAGATCCTTGAGGAATCACCACACTGTCTTCCACAATGTTTGAACTAATTTACAGTCCCACTAACAGTGTAAACGTGTTCCTATTTCTCCACATCTTCTCCAGCATGTGTTGTTTCCTGACTTTTTAATGATCACTATTCTAACTGGCATGAGATGGTATCTCACTGTGGTTTTGATTTGTATTTCTCTAATGACCAGAGACGATGAGCTTTTTTTTTTTTTCATATGTTTGTTGGCTGCATAAATGTCTTCTTTTGAGAAATGTCTGTTCATATCCTTCACCCACTTTTTGATGGGGTTGTTTTTTTCTTGTAAATTTGTTTAAGTTCTTCATTGATTCTGGGTATTAGCCCTTTGTCACATGGATAAATTGCAAAATTTTTCTCCCATTCTGTAGGTTGCCTGTGCACTCTGATGATAGTTTCTTTTGCTATGCAGAAGCTCTATATTTTGATTAGATCCCATTTGTCAATTTTAGCTTTTGTTGCCATTGCTTTTGGTGTTGTAGTCATGAAGTCTTTGCCCATGCCTATGTCCTGAATGGTATTGCCTAGGTTTTCTTCTAGGATTGTTACGGTTTTAGGTATTATATTTAAGTCTTTAATCCATCTTGAGTTAATTTTTTTATGAAGTGTAAGGAAGAGATCCAGTTTCAGTTTTCTGCATTTGGCTAGCCAATTTTCCCAACATGATTTATTAAATAGGGAATCCTTTCCCCCATTTGCTTGTTTTTGTCAGGTTTTTCAAAGATCAGATGGCTTTAGATGTGTGGCTTTATTTCTGAGGCCTCTGTTCTGTTCTGTTGGTCTACATATCTTTTTTAGTACCAATCCCATGCTGTTTTGGATACTGTAGCCTTGTAGTATAGTTTGAAGTCAGGTAGCATGATGCCTGCAGCTTTGTTCTTCTTGCCCAGCATTGTCTTGGCTATGCGGGCTCTTTTTTGGTTCCATAATAGTTTAAAGTATTTTTTTCTGATTCTGTGAAGAAAGTAAATGGTAGCTTGATAGGGATAACATTGAATCTATAAATTACTTTGGGCAGTATGGCCATTTTCACAATATTCATTCTTCCTATCCATGAGCATGGACTATTTTTCCATTTGTTTGTGTCCTCTCTTATTTCCTTGAGTAGTGGTTTGTAGTTCTCTGTGAAGAGGTCCTTCACATCACTTGTAAGTTGTATTCCTAGGTGTTTTACTCTCTTTGTAGCAATTGTGAATGGGAGTTCACTCATGATTTTGCGCTCTATTATTGGTATATAGGAATGCCTGTGACTTTTGCACATTGATTTTGTATCCTGAGACTTTGCTGAAGTTGCTTATCAGCTTAAGGAGATTTTGGACTGAGATGATGGGGTTTTCTAAATATACAATCATGTCATCTGCAAACAGAGACAATTTAACTTCCTGTCTTCCTATTTGAATACCCTTTATTTCTTTCTCTTGCCTGACTGCCCTGGCCAGAACTTCCAATACTATGTTGAAGTGGAGTGGTGAGAGAGGGCATCCTTGTCTTGTGCCGGCTTTAAAAGGGAATGCTTCCAGTTTTTGCCCATTCAGTATGATATTGGTTGTGGGTTTATCATAAATAGCTCTAATTATTTTGAGATCTGTTCCAGCAATACCTAGTTTATGGAGAGCTTTAACATGAAGGGCTGTTGAATTTTATCAAAAGCCTTTTCTGCATCTATTGAGATAATCACGTGGTTTTTGTCGTTGGTTCTGTTTATGTGATGAATTACGTTTATTGATTTGCATTATGTTGAACCAGCCTTGCATCCCTGGAATGAAGCTGACTTGATCGTGGTGGATAAGCTTTTGACGTGCTGCTGGATTCATTTTGCCAGTATTTCATCAAGGATTTTTGCGTTGATTTTCATCAGGGATATTGGCCTGAAATTTTATTTTTTTGTTGAGTCTCTGCCAGGTTTTGGTATCAGGATGACGCTGGCCTTATAAAATGAGTTAGGGAGGATTCTCTCTTTTTTTATCGTTTAGAATAGTTTCAGAAGGAATGGTACCAGTTCCTCTTTGTACCTTTGTAGAATTCAGCTGTGAATCCATCTGGTCCTGGACTTTTTTTGGTTGGCAAGCTATTAATTACTGCCTCAATTTCAGAACTTTTCAACTTCTTCCTGGTTTCGACTTGGGAGGGTGTATGTGTCCAGGAATTTATACATTTCTTCTAGATTTTCTAGTTCATTTGCATAGAGGTATTTATAATATTCTCTGATGGTAGTTTATATTTCTGTGGGATCATTGGTGATATACCCTTTATCAATTTTTATTGTGTCTATTTGATTCTCCTCTTTTTTCTTCTTTATTAGTCTGGCTAGCGGTCTATTTTGTTAGTTTTTTCAAAAAACCAGCTCCTGCATTCATGGATTTTTTTGAAGGGTTTTTCTTGTCTCTGTCTCCTTCATTTTGCTCTGATCTTAGTTATTTCTTGTCTTCTGCTAGCTTTTGAATGTGTTTGCTCTTGCTTCTCTAGTTCTTTTCATTGTGATATTAGGGTGTCAATTTTAGATCTTCTCCATGCTTTCTCTTGTGGGCATTTAGTGAGATAAATTTCCCTCTACACACTGCTTTAAATGTGTCCCAGAGATTCTGGTACATTGTGTCTTTGTTCTCATTGGTTTCAAAGAACTTATTTATTTCTGCCTTAATTTTTTACTTACCCAGTAGTCATTCAGGAGCAGGTTGTTCAGTGTTTCCATGTAGTTGTGTAGTTTTGAGTGAATATCTTAATCCTGAGTTCTAATTTGATTGCACTGTGATCTAAGAGACTGTTATGATATCCATTCTTTTGCATTTGCTGAGGAGTGTTTTACTTCCAACTCTGTGGTCAATTTTAAAGTGAGTGTGATGTGGTGCTGAAAAGAATGTATACTCTGTTGATTTGGGGTGGAGAGTTCCGTAGCTGTCTATTAGGTCTGCTTGGTCTAGAGCTGAGTTCAAGTCCTGAATATCCTTAATTTTCTGTCTTGTCGATCTGTCTAATATTGACTGTGGGGTGTTAAAGTCTCCCATTATTATTGCGTGGGAGTCTGTCTCTTTGTAGGTCTCTAAGAACTTGCTTTATGAATCTGTATTGGGTGTATATATATGTAGGATAGTTAGCTCTTCTTGTTGCTTTGATCTCTTTAGCATTATGTAATGCCCTTCTTTGTCTCTTTTGATCTTTGTTGGTTTAAAATCTGTTATGTCAGAGACTAGGATTGCAACCCCTGCTTTTTTTTTTTGCTTTTGCTTTCCATTTGCTTGGTAAATATTCCTCCATCCCTTTATTTTGAACCTGTGTGTATCTTTGCATATGAGATGGATCTCCTGAATAGAGCACACTGTTGGGTCTTGACTCTTTATTCAGTTTGTCAGTTTGTGTTTTTAATTGGGGGCATTTAGCCCATTTACATTTAAGGTTAGTATTGTTATGTGTGAATTTGATCCTGTCATCATGATGCTAACTGGTTATTTTGTCTGTTAGTTGATGCAGTTTCTTCATAGTGCCGATGGTCTTTACAATTTGGTATGTTTTTGCAGTGGCTGGTATCGGTTGTTCCTTTCCGTATTTAGTGCTTCCTTCAGGAGCTCAATTAAGGCAGTCCTGGTGGTGACAAAATCTCTCAGCATTTGCTCGTCTGTAAAGGATTTTATTTCTCCTTCATTTATGAAGCTTAGTTTGGCCGGATATGAAATTCTGGGTTGAAAATCTTTTCTTTAAGAATGTTGAATATTGGCCCCCACTGTCTTCTGGCTTGTAGGGTTTCTGCAGAGAGATCCACTGTTAGTCTGATGGGCTTCCCTTTGTGGGTAACCGAACCTTTCTCTCTGGCTGCCCTTGACATTTTTTCCTTCATTTCGACCTTGGTGAATCTGATGATTATGTGTCTTGGGGTTGCTCTTCTGGAGGAGTATCTTTGTGTTGTTGTCTGTATTTCCTGAATTTGAATGTTGGCCTGTCTGACTTGGTTGGGGAAGTTCTCCTGGATAATATCCTGAAGAGTGTTTTCCAACTTGGTTCCATTCTCCCTGTCACTTTCAGGTACACCAATCAAACATAGGTTTGGTCTTTTCACATAGTACCATATTTCTTGGCGGCTTTGTTTGTTCCTTTTCATTCTCTTTTCTCTAATCTTATCTTCACATTTTATTTCATTAAGTTGATATTCAACCTCTGATATCCTTCCTTCTGCTTGATCCATTTAGCTATTGATACTTGTGTATGCTTCATGAAGTTCTTGTGCTGTGTTTTTCAGCTCCATCAGATCATTTATGTTCTTCTCTAAACTGGTTATTCTAGTTAGCAGTTCGACTAATTTTTTTCAAGGTTCTTAGCTTCGTTGAATTAGGTTAGAACATGCTCCTTTAGCTTGGGGGAGTTTGTTATTACAAACTTCTATCTTCTGAAACCTACTTCTGTCAATTCATCAAATTCATTTTCCATCCAGTTTTGTTCCATTGCTGGTGAGGTGTTGTGATCCTTTGGAGGGGAAGAGGCATTCTGGTTTTTGGAATTTTCAGCCTTTTGGCACTGGCTTGTCCCCACCTTCATGGATTTATCTATTTTTGGTCTTTGATGTTGGTGACCTTTGGATGGGGTTTCTTTTTTGTTAATGTTGATGCTATTCCTTTCTGTTCATTAGTTTTCCTTCTAACAGTCAGGCCCCTCTGCTGCAGGTCTGCTGGAGTTTGCTGGAGGTCCACTCCAGACCCTGTTTACCTGGGTATCACCAGTGGAGGCTGCAGAACAGCAAAGGTTGCTGCCTGTTCTTTCCTCTGGAAGCTTTGTCCCAGAGGGGCACCCGCCAGATGCCAGCTGGAGCTCTCCTGTATGAGGTGTCTGTCTGCCCCTTCTGGGAGGTGTGTCCCAGTCAGAAGACATGGGGGTCAGGGACCCAGTTGAGGAGGCAGTCTGACCCCTAGCAGAGCTCGAACACTGTGCTTGGAGATCCGCTGCAAGGAGCTGACAGGCAGGGAAGCCTAAGTTTGGTGAAGCTGCACTCACAGCCGCCCGCCCCTTCCTCCAGTTGCTCTGTCCCAGGGTGATGGGAGTTTTATCTATAAGCCCCTGACTGAGGCTGCTGCCTATTTTTCAGAGATGCCCTGCCCAGAGAGGAGGAATCTAGAGAGGTAGTCTGTCTACAGCAGCTTTGGTGAGCTGCAGAGGGCTCTGCCCAGTTGGAACTTCCCTGTGGCTTTGTTTACACTGTGAGAGGGAAATCACCTACTCAAGCCTCAGTAATGGTAGACACCCCTACCCCCACTAAGCTCAATCATTCCTGGTCAACTTCAGACTGCTATGCTGGCAGCGGGAATTTCAAGCCAGTGGTTCTCAGCTTGCTGGGCTCCATGTGGGTGGGATCCGCAGAGCTAGACCACTTAGCTCCCTGGCTTCAGCCCCCTTTCCGGGGGAGTGAATGGTTCTGTCTCACTGGCATTCCAGGCACCGCTAGGGTATGAAAAAACTCCTGCAGCTAGCTTGGTGTCTGCTGAAATGGCTGCCCAATTTTGTGCTTGAAACCCAGAGCCCTGGTGGCATAGGCATTCAAAGGAATCTCCTGGTCTGTGGGTTGCAAAGACCATGGGAAAAGCATAGTATTTGGGCTGGGGTGCACCATTCCTCATGTCACAGTCCCTCATGACTTCCCTTGGCTAGGGGAGGGAGTTCCCCAACTCCTTGTGCTTCCTGGGTGAGGTGACACCCCACTGTGCTTCGGCTTGCTGTCCGTAGGCTGCACCCACTGTCTAACCAGTCCCAGTGAGATGAGCCAGGTACCTCAGTTGGAAATGCAGAAATCACCCACCTTCTGCATCGATCTAGCTGGGCACTGCAGACTAGAGCTGTTCCTATTTGGCCATCTTGCCAGGTCTCCCTACCCTTGCTTTCTTTCACTGTGATTGGCCTGAAATCATTTGAGAGCTTTCTATAGTCATGTGATCCATGATTTACTTAATAAATCCTAATTACTTTATATGACACAGATGAATTATTCGTATAATTGAGGTGGAAGTACATGTTTTGTTTGAGTTACTCAAGTTATTGTGTATTTTATGCTACTTGAACTTAGAGTAACCCTTGCTTGTGTTTTGCTTTATCCAAATGGCTCATATCATACCAGACTAGGACATTGTATTTATTTGGATGTAGATTACTCAAACATTTTACATGATTTTAATATTTTTCAATGTATTAAACTTTTAGCTTTCAGTTTCAACCTTTTTCAAATTTAATTAAAATTATTTTGATTTTTCTAAGTTAAAAATGCATCTATGATTGAAAAATCTATTTATATAATTTGATTTATAATGATGTGATACTTAATATTCACAGTTGATGTCTATCACATTTTAAATAAAAAGAATGGGTTAACAGTCATCATACGTTGTAGCTTGGCATTATAATTTTCTAAAATCTTCAATATATGGTACTAATTTAGCTGAAAGCATTCCCTCTGTACCCTTTCAGAAGTAATGTGCAAGAAATAAAGGGGCTATATTATAATAATTTCTAGAAATAGAGGCCTCAAATATATTATCAATATTGTAATATATTATTTCTTGTGTTTGCTTAAAAATATTTAAAAATAAGATCTGAAGTCGACATGTTGCCCTAATTATATTTTGACTTCAAATAACATGATATTCTTTCTTTGTCATTTTTCTATTTTTATACCTAATAGATCATCTGGTATTGCATATGAAAAATGAGATGAGAAACACCAAGTACAAACCAGTAGACTATCAACAATTGCGTGTATTAACTGAAGCAAAGAAATTAGCTTCTGCCTCTGCAGAGCTAAAGGTTAGAAGTTATGTGTGTATGTATTTTTCTAGTTTTAGAAAATTGAATTGCTAGAAAGTATTTACAATGTAAATGTGAAAATAAATGACATTCCAAATAGTTGTTAGAAACTCCCAAATAGTAATAATAGTGAATAGCAGCTAACATTTATCGAATGCTCTCAGACACCATTATATAGTTTACATGCATTCATGCATTACCCATTTAATGTTCAGAACAACTCTTTGAGGTCTGAATTCAACTTTATTTTTTGAAAGACCATTATTTTATTAGCTTTCAACAACTTCCAACTTAATCTGAAGAATAAAAATTTTTAGTAATTACCGGATGCTGACTATTATCTGATTAAGACCCCTTCTCCAACACTATACAAATATGTCCTCAGGTGCTCTATTTTCTAGAATTCCGTTTTTGACTTAAAGATATGTTCCAAGCCAGGGTGAACCTAGGCTAGATTTGAAACGAGATTATGTGCAAGTGATTTTGCACAATATTTTAGGACCATGTATAGTTTAGGATTACTCACACAGTATGATTCTTTCTTGTGGAAATAATAGAGTTCATTGAAAACAGTATTTTCATTACTTGGCTGCAGTAAAAACAGGTTAGGTGAAGCAACTTGTTACATAATTTGCATGTTGTTTGCATTCATAATTTTCATGGTTTGTTCATTTTGCCTTTTATTGTTAATATCTTTTTTTATAGAAGGCAATTGTTATGATTTCAAAGCACATTTGATACTCTATTCTGGAGAGATTACCATATATTCATGGGCTATATCTCCTCAAACTAAGGCAACTACTTAAAAGCCAGGGCATTATTTATGGTTTATATAACTTTAAAATAAGTTAATGTCATGGGAACATTCAAAGAAATTTTGTGGTAAAGTCACTTATATTACTATTATACTAACAAAACTTTTCATATTCCTGACTTCTGTTTATTGTACACGTATATATAAACATAAACATATTGCGCATTTTATTTTTCCCATGATAAGCATAGACATGAAATCATGTACACTTTTCTCCCTAACAGTCTGTCACATAATCTTTTAAATATTTAATTGTTCAAGCCAGTACATATTTATTATGTGTCTACTATTTGCCTTGAAGATACAATTGTAAGCAAAATACAGCCCTTGCCTTTATGAAGTTTACTGTTTGCTGGGGGAGGGAGAGGAGTCAGTGTTTATCAAATAAGCCTGGAAGTAAAATTATCCAAAGTATAAACTGCAATAAAAACCATGCCGTCTGGTGTATAATAGGATTTGATCTTCACTGAGTGGTTAGAGAAGGCTTTTCTGAGGAAGGGATATTGGAATTGGGATCTCAAGGCCAATAAAGTACAAAGTTACAATGAGATAGGAAGAATCAGTTCTGGTGTTCTATTGCACAGTAGGGTGAGGATGAATAACAGTAAGGTATTGTATATTACAAAACAGAAGAGAGGCTGTTGAATATACTCCCCACAAAGAAATGATAAATGCATGCAACGATGGCCGTGCTAAATACCCTGATTTAACGTGTATTTTTATATAACATATATATGTATCAAAACATCAAATTGTGCCCATAAATATGCACAATTACAATATGTCAATTAAAAATATAATACAAAAGAATTAACTAGGTAAAAACAGGAGTGACAAGTACTCCGAAGAGAAAATGATGCACGCATTATCCCACCCCAATTTTTAGATATTTGAGATGTACCCAATTTTGTGATAATAGAAATTATGCTACTTCAAGCATAGAGACTTTTCATGTTTTAGAATCCTCTACTCTCATAGGAAAAATTCCCATGATTGGGACATCTGGATCAAAAATGTGAGTGTTTTTTCATGATTATCTCAATAGACGCAGAAAAGGCGTTTGACAAAATTCAATAGCCCTTCATGCTAAAAACGCTCAATAAATTCAGTATTGATGGAACATATCTCAAAATCATAAGAGCTATTTATGACAAACCCACAGCCAATATCATACTGAATGGGCAAAAAATGGAAAAATTCCCTTTGAAAAGTGGCACAAGACAGGGATGCCCTCTCTCACCACTCCTGTTCAACATAGTGTTGGAAGTTCTGGCTAGGGCAATCAGGCAAGAGAAAGAAATCAAGGGTATTCAGTTAGGAAAAGAAGAAGTCAAATTGTCCCTGTTTGCAGATGACATGATTGTATATTTAGAAAACCCCATTGTCTCAGCCCAAAATCTCCTTAAGCTGATAAGCAACTTCAGCAAAGTCTCAGGATACAAAATTAATGTGCAAAAATCACAAGCATTCTTATACACCAGTAACAGACAAACAGAGAGCCAAATCATGAATGAACTTCCATTCACAATTGCTTCAAAGAGAATGAAATACCTAGGAATCCAACTTACTAGGGATGTAAAGGACCTCTTCAAGGAGAACTACAAACCACTGCTCAGTGAAATGAAAGAGGACACAAACAAATGGAAGAACATACCATGCTCATGGATAGGAAGAATCAATATCGTGAAAATGGCCATACTGCCCAAGGTAATTTATAGATTCAATACCATCCCCATCAAGCTACCAATGAGTTTCTTCACAGAATTGGAAAAAACTGCTTTAAAGTGCATATGGAACCAAAAAAGAGCCCGCATCTCCAAGACAATCCGAAGTCAAAAGAACAAAGCTGGAGGCATCACGCTACCTAACTTCAAATTATACTACAAGGCTACAGTAACCAAAACAGCATGGTACTGGTACCAAAACAGAGATACAGACCAATGGAACAGAATAGAGTCCTCAGAAATAATACCACACATCTACAGCCATCTGATGTTTGACAAACCTGAGAAAAACAAGAAATGGGGAAAGGATTCCCTATTTAATAAATGGTGCTGGGAAAATTGGCTAGCCATAAGTAGAAAGCTGAAACTGGATCCTTTCCTTACTCCTTATATGAAAATTAATTCAAGATGGATTAGAGACTTAAATGTTAGACCTAATACCATAAAAACCCTAGAAGAAAACCTAGGCAATACCATTCAGGACATAGGCATAGGCAAGGACTTCATGTCTAAAACACCAAAAGCAATGACAACAAAAGCCAAAATTGACAAATGGGATCTAATTAAACTAAAGAGCTTCTGCACTTCAAAAGAAACTACCATCAGAGTGAACAGGCAACCTACAGAATGGGAGAAAATTTTTGCAATCTACTCATCAGACAAAGGGCTAATATCCAGAACCTACAAAGAACTCAAACAAATTTACAAGAAAAAAACAAACAACCCCATTGAAAAGTGGGCAAAGGATATGAACAGACAGTTCTCAAAAGAAAACATTCATACAGCCAACAGACACATGAAAAAATGCTCATCATCACTGGCCATCAGAGAAATGCAAATCGAAACCACAATGAGGTACCATCTCACACCAGTTAGAATGGCAATCATTAAAAAGTCAGGAAACAACAGGTGTTGGAGAGGATGTGGAGAAATAGGAACACTTTTACACTGTCGGTGGGATTGTAAACTAGTTCAACCATTATGGAAAACAGTATGGCGATTCCTCAAGGATCTAGAACTAGAAGTACCATATGACCCAGCCATCCCATTACTGGGTATATACCCAAAGGATTATAAATCATGCTGCTATAAAGACACATGCACACGTATGTTTATTGCAGCACTATTCACAATAGCGAAGACTTGGAATCAACCCAAATGTCCATCAGTGACAGACTGGATTAAGAAAACGTGGCACATATACACCACGGAATACTATGCAGCCATAAAAAAGGATGAGTTTGTGTCCTTTGTAGGGACATGGATGCAGCTGGAAACCATCATTCTCAGCAAACTATCACAAGATCAGAAAACCAAACACCACATGTTCTCACTCATAGGTGGGAACTGAACAATGAGATCACTTGGACTCGGGAAGGGAACATCACACACCGGGGCCTATCACGGGGAGTGGGGAGGGGGGAGGGATTGCGTTGGGAGTTATACCTGATGTAAATGACGAGTTGATGGGTGCTGATGAGTTGATGGGTGCAGCACGCTAACATGACACAGGTATACATATGTAACAAACCTGCACGTTATCCACATGTACCCTAGAACTTAAAGTATAATTTAAAAAAAAAAAAAAAAGTGAGTGTTTTTTAGTGTTTTTGAGACCTGTTACCAAATTTCTTTCCCAAGGTATTGTTTTAATGAAGATACCAAACAAATGTATTCTCTATACCCTTGTCAGTATTGGAATAGATAAATATTCATGTATGTATATATACACACTTATATTTCTAATACTATCCATCCATCCATCCATTCGAGATGTACCAAAAAAGATATTTTGACTGAATGTAGAATGGTTGAGTGTTAAAATGAGTATTTTGTCAAAGTGAATTTCTCTTTGGTGATAGACTCATTATGAAAGAATCAATATATTTCAGATTAATTATTATTGTGGTCTTTATAGTTTGATATCAAGTGCAGGAACAATAATTTCTCAGCACTGTCAGTCGCTAGATTGCCACTCTGGTCACTGTATTTACATATTTGTGCGGTTAAACAGATGCTCACTTTCAACTGGCATTTTAAATAACATCAGTAACCTTTTTGTTCATAGCGGAATGTAATTCAGGAAGAAGCTTTTCTAGAAATAACTGTGTACCTGGGATTCATAGCTTGGCAAATCTCAAAAAAATCCCTTGTCTTTAACTAATGAAAACGGTTCACAGTCTGTAGCAATCATTTTGACAAGCTTTTGCTTCCATTTTCAGTCTCTGTAGATTCATGATGATAAGGAATTGTCCTTTTAAAGCATTTTGGAATGTCTGTTGTTTTGAATTTCAGTTAGTGAGAACAAAATGTGTCCTAGGTACTTCATCATTTTCTAACACTTGCTTTTTTTTCTTCATGCAGTTTTCATTTTTTATTATATCTGGATTAAGGAAAATGCATTGGGAATATTGTTGTACATTATTTTTTGGAGTCTTCCCTTCTAATTTAATTTAAAGGTGGCAAGTTGACATTTTGCTTTTAATTTATTCTTGTAAGTTGTGAACAATTGCCAAATAGGACTTTTTCTTAAAAGACTCATGGCTTAAGTGGAATTAAATAAATGGAAATTAAATACAACTCAAAGGTTTTTTTTAATGTCCTGAATGCTAAGATAAAAAACAATCCACACTAACTAGAATTATGATTATAATAGTATCTCTGTTATTCTTTCATATATTACTTGAATTAAAAATATATAGGCTCAAAAAAACATATTATTATTCTTAATGTTTCATAGCTAACACATTCTCTCTTTTGTATTAGTTATTGGCCTACTTCCCTGTTTATTTTACCATTTAAATGCACTCTTTTTTTAGACATGTAATTTACAGTTTTAATAATCATTGTTAATTATTACAGCACTTTTCTCTGGCAATATTAAATATAAACATATTTAAATAAAATGATAAAATATTAACATTTAAAGCACAAAAAGATTATTGCTTCAAGTTACATCTAGAATGCATAGTTACCTATCTGATTTGTACTACTGATATTATTAACAAGCTAGATGTGATGGTCATCTATATAATCATTGTGTCATTGATCATGCACAATTTCTTGGATGCTAACCATATAAGACTGAAGTGGACAGTCAGTGATCTAGTCTTTCAAAGGCTGAGATTGAACCTGAAAACAAATAATAGAGTTGGGCTAAAAACTGAGACCAATTTTGGTACATTGTGTGTAACTGTTCATTCCCATTGTATTAATTGTTAAAAAGATCTTTGCAATTATTTTTAAATTTGAATTTCTTTGCTTAGATACTTCTTGTACAGCTCAAGGCTTCATTAATTCTTTTAAAAAATGTTATAGAAAATTATAAACATATGAACAATTGGATTGAATGGTATAGTGAATCTCCATGTCACATCATTCAGCTTCAACAATGATCAACTTTTGACCATTGTTTCCTCTATACTCCTACCCACAAACCACCCCCTGTGCCAGATTGTTTTGAAGCAAATCACAGACATCATAATATTTCACTCATAAATATTTCAACATGTATTGCTGAAATAATAAAGATTTTTAAAAAGCCTGTAATACCATTACCATGTCTAAAAATGTTATTGTCTTAATAATTTTAAATATGTAGTGTTAAATTTTCCTGATTATCTCAAAAATTTTGTCTTAAAGTTTATTTAAATCAGCTTTTAGATATGATCTGTACATTATAACTTTTTTTTTAGATTTGCTCCTCTATCCTCTTGTATTTTGTAATTTATTTTTTGAAGAAATTGTATTGTTTGTCTTATAGTCTGAATTAGGCAGATTACATCCTGGTGGTGCCATTCAACATGTTTTTCTGTTTCTTGTGTTTCCAGTAAATTGATAGTTATATTTAGGGACTTGATCAGATTCAAGTTCAATTAATTTTGGCAAGAACACTTATTGATGGAAGTTTTGTGCTCTAATCTTTTTCTATTACAAATGGTACTGCAGTGAATAGCTTTGTGCATATATCTTTTATACTTTCACCAGTATAGTTTTCAGATGAATTTCTACAAATGAAGCTGCTAGGTCACCAGATACATCCATGTGAAATCTTGTGATACATCTCCAAATTCCCTTCTATGGGGGTTGTATCACTTTGTATTCCCACTAGCAATATTAGAGGGAACATGCTTTCTTTAGTTTCACAGAGTGTTTTGTTAAACAACTGAGTTTTTGCCAACCCGATAAATGAGAAACTGCATCTTACTGTAGTTGTTTTTTTCTTTTTATTTGTGTTAACAGTTCTTTATTGAGTTATAACTCACATGTAGTAAAATGTATATATCTCAAACATACATCCCAGTGACATTTGACAAACATATACATACATGTAACCAGTTGTCTACTAGTTATTGACATCTGTCTCAAAAGATGTATCTTCTGGTTCAAAGGACTTTTGTAATATTTCAAGATGCCTATTTAGGTTTTATTATCTTGGACCATCACAATAAGTCATATACAGGAAACCCCTGGTTTCTGAGTCTTTTGTGAATTCATTGTTTTGTCATTTTTCCAGAGTATTTTTGAATTGTCAGCATTCTGCAAAAATTATCATCCACCCTAAGTATTGACTTTATATGGCATATTGCCCAGTAAAATGAATTGGAATCACCTAGACATCTCTCTGTTGGTAAAGATAGAACTTTAAATCTTTTTGCTCTTTTTAAGACTTTATTTTATTTTTTTTTTTCATTTTTGGCCCGAGGATAGAAGTGGAATCAATGAGTGAATTTATAAAAAAATCAGTGTGTTGTGCAAAATATTGGAATTGTCTAGTGAAAAATATTAGCTTTATTTTGACTTTTATTGTCTACGTAATTGGACTTCCCCTGCGCCCAAAGGCGAGAGCATTGATTTTTTTTACAAACTATAAAAATGTGTCCCTGTCTTTCACCAATGTATTTTAATTTTTTTGTACAATGTGTACCAAATATGCCAAAGAAATCTAATTTTAAAATTAGATTTTAAAATTAATTGTATCTGTTGCAACAAACTTTAGATACTGTGTATGGTAAATGGCTAGGATGAGCTTTAAGCATTCTTAAAGCGAACATTAAAATGTCAGATTTTAGAAATACTGTGTACTTGTATTTTTTGGTAGGTAAAATAGAGACTGCTGAACGTTTTTCTGCAGTGTCCTGTGCTTTTAAAAATGTACTTCCCTCCTAAATTTTATAATTGTAACACTCTTAAGACATTCTTAGGAAAATATTTGACTTTGACTTTGTAGTTTTTAAAAGTGATCTTTGGGTTGTTTTCTTATATCCCTAATTTTGAATCAGTAACCAGAACAGCAGAAAGATAAACTCAAGGTTAAAGCAATCAGTGAATGACGGCTGGAAATAGCATGCATTATAAAGATTCCTTTTTAGAACTTGTCTTCTGAAGTCTTTACATCTCCAGTATTGATCTTTTAAAGCTTGTCGAGTACTAAGTGCTTTAACAGCAGAGAAATTATGAAATATGTGTATTTCATCAAGTTTCTGATTTACAATTTTGTAGTTTAAAATTGTTAAAATGGAATACTTGAGTTTGGAGTACGCATGAGTATAAGTTAGAGTCTAACCAGGGAACAGACATCACTTGAGGATTCAGAGTAGAGGGATTTTTAATGTAGGAAGATGGTTATGCAGGTGATAGCACTGAGAAGGCAGAGGACTGGGAGGTAATACAGAAGTTGACAAGTACAGGAAGTCACTGCCATCCGTAGGTCAGAGGGGCATACAGAAGAAGCAAGGCCATGCCACATTCCTGGGGTGAGGTTACCCAGAGATAGTTGGAACGTAGCAGAACTGTTCAGAGAAAAGTTGGGGTAATGGACATGAGCAAATGCTCCTGGAGACCCTGTGAGAGTAGAGAAGGCAAGATGATGTAATCCTTAGGCTTCTCCTTTCTTCCCTGCCTTCAGTCTCCCATGCCAGGGTCTTGCTTTGGCTGAAGCCAACTGATAGGGGTGCCTGAGAAACACAGGCTGCTCTGTGAGATGGAGCAGATCAGGCAAACAGCCAGAAATGGATCTAAGGCAAACAGATCCAGGACTGATACAACCTTTCAGCTGAAACCCAAAAGCATTCATTATGTGCTACATTTTTAAAAAGTCATAAAATTGAGGAAAAATTAAGTTCAGTTGAAAATTTAGATTTCAATGCTACATGATTTTTCATATTTAAGTATCATCAAATAAATATTTGGTTAAATTAAAAAATTTTGTTTACAAAGATGTACATAGAATTGAAAGATTGAAATTGTGTGTTCAAGGTCATATTTCTAGTAAATGTTGAAGCCAGGCCTTCTAAAAACTTATCTAATGAATCTTTCCCATCTTATGCTGAGGGATCAGATAGAAACCAATCTAAACATCATGGTTGTTTGTTACTCTGATGTTTATGAGCTTTATGATCTTGATGACATCTTTTAACTTCTCATACATTCAATAAATATTGTCCTCCAAAAATGTGAATAGAGATGCCTATTATACCTGACAGGGAAGATAAACCCAAAAGGGTAGAAATGAGACCTCTTGAAAAATTTTCTGGGGTGATATGAATTAAGGTATTTTTTATTTCATGTATGGAAAATAGAATGACTTCACCTTTAATAAGTACTTTAAAAACAGTTCTTAAGGTTGTCAGTATTCCTAACTATTTTTCTTTCTCCTCCCTGCTTTAAGAAATCAAACTTATTTTAGGTAGATTTTGTGTTAGAAGATGGACTAATAAGAATTTAAAAAGAGCAACTATTTAACTTAGAAAATTCAGATTATACATTTCTTTGTGAAAAACTCATTCTGAAATCTTTGAAGTTGCTCCTCTTTTGTTCCTCTAAATCTAGATCAGAAAAGCAATGTTGACTTCAAAGATATCCAAAGAACAAACACTAATAAAACAACACAAGCAAGTGTGGTGGCAGGAATACCAGAGACTGACTGAAGTCAGGTAAGAACTGGAGGAAATAGTTAAGAACACGTAGGAATTACTAGGAATCACACTTATCTCGTCAGATGTTCTATAATGTTCCATGTTAATTAACCATTGCAATAAAAAATTTAAAGTTACAGTTTGAATGTGAGTTAAATTAAAATCTTTTCATTTCCTCAGCTTAATCTGAAATCCAGTGAATATATTAATATGGCTTTTGCCTCCTTTCGAAAGAAGATAATCTGTATGTGCCAATCACTTCCACACTCCCACTCTCATACTTGTATTTACTTGTATCATACTTAGCATATTAGATTATAATGTTTTGGTTACATGTTTTTTCTTCCCTATAAAGTGGTAGAGATCCTATCACAGGCAAACATCTTATCATATTCATTTTTATATAGTAGAATACATAGGAGAGATGTAAATGCTTTTAATACATGGATGACCTAATGAACAAGGAGTTCAAGTTGCAAATGGTTTCTGGGTGTAACTGCATCATTACTAACTTACTCAAGTTTGCTTTTTGACTTTTGTTATTATTTCCAGCAGTCACGTAAAGATAAATTAAAATGAAATATTGATTCTATAGTTGATCTTCATTGTAATCTTTGAAAAATTAGTTTTTTTTCAAAAGTCAAGGCAAAAAAAGAAGGCAGATGTGTTTCTCCTTCGTTTATAGCATATATACTTGTTTTAGTGATGATGTTTATAAAGTGTGCTTTTAAAATGTGCATTTTAAAACATTTATATCAAAAGAGGTAATTTCTGTGGTCTTATTCCAAGTAAAGTTTCTAAATACCATTAACTTTACTTTTGACTTAGGTATTTTTCATGTTGATTAGTTTCTTATTCTGGCAGGTGACTCCTCTGTGAAATAGAAGGCTTATAATTGAAAGTGGGTTTACATTATTGTGTAACTTAAAACATAGAAAAACAAACTTATATGGACTTCATCACCATACATCTACTATAAAAACAATGAAATTAGACCCATCCTATCCCTCAAAAGTCACCTTTTGTGGAGAGAATGTTTCAGCCCATTGGAATTTTTTTTTTTTTGAAAATGTGCATAACTTGAAACATGACAAAAAGGAAAGCCATTAGGAAGCTTTAATTATGGTGTTTGCTGATTCCAGTTCAAATGTAAAGGAAGACACTAGGTAAACTTTTTTTTTTTTTTTTTTTTTTTACTCTTGGCTATTCCACATCTTTCTTACTGTGTATATTAAGTTGTTCTTAAGGTAGGTAGAAGAGATGTATATATATCATGATGGAAAATAATTCTTTTGGCTGACCTGGAATGACAGAAAGAAAATGGAGGTGGGGAACACTTAGGTAATGATAACCTTAATGTCTCAGAACTTCTAAGGGCTGAAAATTGGACAAAATGAAGAATTCCAGGATAAGTTTCTGTGTTATTCTAGAATGCAGGCTAATTTCAATTTGTGTTCAGTGCTACTGAAAACTAACAGCAATAGGAGATAAGTTAGAGAAATGACTACCTTGTGGAGAATTTAGGGCCACCAACAAATTAGAAGTAGTTAAAGTCCTAACAGTGTCAACCTTTAGAAATCGACATCCCCTTTTAATAAGTAAGATTCTATGCCTTACCATAAAAGACAACGTTTAAGAATCTCAGGCAGGCAGAGGATAAGGGCCTACAATGACACCTAACATTTGTTAGGTAATTTAATATGTGCCAGGTAATACTAGATTGGGCAAAAGCCACAATTATTTTTGCACCAACTGAATATTGTAAGTCTTTTACATGTTTTATCTCCTTTAATATTTACAATGACCCTACAAAGTAGTAGTTATTGCTGTCTCAGTTTTACAAATGAGAATCTTGTGTCTCAGATAATGAAAGTTATTTGTAGATCATAAATAACCTAGTCTGTGTGGAGCTGGGATTGGAACGTTTGCCCCTAACTTCTGTGCTCTATGACCTTGGAGTTGAGTAGCTTTTTCCTTTTTCTACAGGGTTCTGTTTACGTCAGCTGAGATCCAACTGGTCTAGCCTTGCTGGCAAAAACAAAAGAAGTTTTGCCAGGGTGTGATGGTGCATACCAGTAGTCCCAGCTACTTGGGAGGCTGAGGCAGGAGGATCACTTGAGCCTAGGTGTTCAAGTCTGCAGTGCGTTATGCTTGCACCTGTGAACAGCTACTGCAGTCTAGCCTGGGCAACATCGTGAGAACCCATGTCTAAAAACAACAAAACAAAATGAAAACAAGTTGCCAAACTTTAATTCTTTGTAATCTGTACTAAGAAAACTAGACAAAATTTTCAAATGTAAAATTATGTTTAATATTTACATTTATACCATTTTATTTAAATTGTGTTATGCTTAATGAAACTGTACCCCTTGAGGTTTTTGATATACTTTCCCAGAGGTACTTTCTCCATTGTTTCATTCTGGTACCACAAAGAATCCCTTAAGTTTTTGTGTGCTCGTTTGCCCAGATGACGTAATAATCTACTCAGTGCAACCACCTGCAAATAAGACACCCTGGTGAAGGGCATTTTTGAGCCTTCAGGTGTCTACTTTGGTACAGGTTCTTATCCTTCCGGAAAGGTGCCAAAGTTCTAGGTGGAGAATCAGTCTCCTCAGAACATCAAAAATTACCCATATCTTCATTTTTTTGGCAGTTTATATGCTCTGTTATGACTTTCTGGGTGCCGAGCTAGATGGTTTTTAAGTGCTATGTTTTTGGTTAAACAAATCTGTTCTGGAATAACTTCTGGTTTGACTCAACCATTATGCACTCATCCTCTATGTAACAGTTGCAAATGTGATCTTAAAAATATTTCTGGCAGAAACTACCTGCTGGAAAAACAGACAGTGAGGTATCATTTACAGTATCACCCCTCCTTTATATATTTAAACAAAAATCAAATCCTTGTCCCATGTAAATTGGCTTAGAAAATTATGACACAGCACTTTGGGAGGCCGAGGCAGGTGGATCACCTGAGGTCAGGAGTTTGAGACTAGCCTAGCCAACATGGTGAAATCCTGTCTCTGCTAAAAATACAAAAATTAGCCAGGCATGGTGGCGTGTACCTGTAGTCCCAGCTACTTGGGAGGCTTAGGCATGAGAATCACTAGAACTCAGGAGACAGAGGTTGCAGTGAACCGAGATTGTGCCACTGCACTCCAGCTGGAGTGACCAAGGGAGACTCGGTCAAAAAAAAAAGTATTTATATATATATGTACATACTTGTGTACACATATATATGTATACATATATAAGCTCATGAAGATTTGTTGTTCTTATTAGTATATTAAAAATAAAGTATACTTCCACCTCTGCAATTCAGGGTCTCATTCTTTCTGAACTTTAAAAATTACCTCCTTGTTGGTCTAGGTTTGTCTGACACCCTCCTCTTCATATTCCATCTCTATTGTTCACATCTCCTTCTGCTTTATCTTGCTGTCTTGGGAATCTTTCTGAAACATGGATCTGAGGAAGTGAGGTCAGCCTACCGACCTTCAGTGCTTCCCAATGCCCCTGGCCCTCTCCACACGCAGTGCTAGGACCTGCTGTGGGATGGCCTTTGCTCACGCTGTTTCTTCTGTCTGAGCCTATGCATCTATCTCAGTGTCTAGCAAGGACTCCAGCCATGTTAGGAATTTAGTGCATGGTTTAAATAAATGAATGGATTACAAAGCCATATTAGATTAAATATCTCTTTGGTTATTTTTTAAAAACCTAGATGTATGTTTATGATTGTAACATTTATTGAGATCACATCTATTTCAGATGTAAAATGGAATCTGAAATAAAATCCCTTCTCAATGAAGAGAACATTGGAAACGAATGTCTTTGTGACCTTACAAATTTTGGTAAGATTTGTTTAATCCTATATTTAAAGGGGAGTTTTATTTTGAAGAATGAGAATGGGCCACTCACTTCATGTTCTTTTAATATTAACTGCCATTAGTTTTTTTCTAAAGGAATCCCCAGATAAATCTGTACTCTAATGATCTGTTCTTGGAGACACTTAAGATAATAATGTGTTCCTTTGATTCCATTTTGTTTCACCATAGAGCAAGAGCTATCAGAACAATGGTGCGCATATCTTAAAAATGTGATAAATCCTATTCAGCAGCTGAGAGCAGATCTAAAATACAGACAGCATCACACTTTGCAGCATTCACACCCACATGTTGAATTTAACTCCGTGAAAGTACTGGAAGAGGTTAGTATGTTACCTTTATTTTCGATAATGTAATACTTCATTTTTGTCCCAACTAGAAGAGTTTGAGATAAGAAACAAACATGTGTGACTTGTGTATTAGTTAATATTAATATGTAATTAATATCTTAAATAGGTCAGCTAATTCTATCCACTAAATATTTTTTTGAGTTATTTTTTTATATGTATATATATATTTTTATTATACTTTAAGTTCTAGGGTACACGTGCACAACGTGCAGGTTTGTTACATATGTATACATGTGCCATGTTGGTGTGCTGCACTCATTAACTCGTCATTTACATTAGGTACATCTCCTAATGCTATCCCTCCCCACTCCCCCCACCCCACTACAGGCCCCCAGTGTGTGATGTTCCGGACCCTGTGTCCAAGTGTTCTCATTGTTCAATTCCCACCTATGAGTGAGAACATGTGGTGTTTGATTTTCTGTTCTTGCAATAGTTTGCTGAGAATGATGGTTTCCAGCTGCATCCGTGTCCCTGCAAAGGACATGACCTCATCCTTTTTTATGGCTGCATAGTATTCCATGGTGTATATGTGCCACATTTTCTTAATCCAGTCTGTCATTGATGGACATTTGGGTTGGTTCCAAGTCTTTGCTATTGTGAATAGTGCCGCAATAAACATATGTGTGCATATGTCTTTATAGTAGCATGATTTATAATCCTTTGGGTATATACCCAGTAATGGGACGGCTGGGTCAAATGGTATTTCTAGTTCTAGATCCTTGAGGAATCGCCATACTGTCTTCCACAATGGTTGAACTAGTATACAGTCCCACCAACAGTGTAAAACTGTTCCTATTTCTCCACATCCTCTCCAGCACCTGTTGTTTCCTGACTTTTTAATGATCACCATTCTAACTGGTGTGAGATGGTATCTCATTGTGGTTTTGATTTGCATTTTTCTGATGGCCAGTGATGATGAGCATTCTTTCATGTGTCTGTTGACTGCATAAATGTCTTCTTTTGAGAAGTGTCAGTTCATATCCTTTGCCTACTTTTCGATAGGGTTGTTTGTTTTTTTCTTGTGAGTTTGTTTGAGTTCTTTGTAGGTTCTGGATATTAGCCCTTTCGTCAGATGAGTAGATTGCAAAACTTTTCTCCCATTCTGTAGGTTGCCTGTTCACTCTGATGGTAGTTTCTTTTGCTGTGCAGAAGCTCTTTAGTTTAATTAAATCCCATTTGTCAATTTTGGCTTTTGTTGCCATTGCTTTTGGTGTTTTAGACGTGAAGTCGTTGCCCATGCCTATATCCTGAATGGTATTGCCTAGGGTTTTCTTCCAGGGTTGTTATGGTTTTCAGTTTTATGTTTAAGTCTTTCATCCATCTTGAGTTAATTTTTGTATAAGGTATAAGGAAGGGGTCCAGTTTCAGTTTTCTGCATATGGCTAGCCAGTTTTCCCAACACCATTTATTAAATAGGGAATCGTTTCCCCATTGCTTGTTTTTGTCAGGTTGTCAAAGATCAAATAATTGTAGGTGTGTGGTATTATTTCTGAGGGCTCTGTTCTGTTCCATTGGTCTATATCTCTGTTTTGGTACCAGTATCAGGCTGTTTTGGCAATGTGGGCTCTTTTTTGGTTCCATATGAACTTTAAAGTAGTTTTTTCCATTTCTGTGAAGAAAGTCATTGGTAGCTTAATGGGGATGGCATTGAATGTGTAAATTACCTTGGGCAGTATGGCCATTTTCATGATATTGATTCTTCCTGTCCATGAGCATGGAATGTTTTTCCATTTGTTTGTTTCCTGTTTTATTTCACTGAGCAGTGGTTTGTAGTTCTCCTTGAAGAGGTCCTTCACATCCCTTGTAAGTTGGATTCCTAGGTATTTCATTCTATTTGAAGCAATTGTGAATGGGAATTCACTCATGATTTGGCTCTCTGTGTGTCTCTTATTAGTGTATAGGAATGCTTGTGATTTTTGCACATTAATTTTGTATCCTGAGACTTTGCTGAAGTTGCTTATCAGCTTAAGGAGATTCTTGGCTGAGACGATGGTGTTTTCTAAATATATAATCATGTCATCTGCAAACAAGGACAGTTTGACTTCCTCTTTTCCTAATTTAATACCTTTTATTTCTTTCTCTTGCCTGATTGCCCTAGCCAGAACTTCCAACACTATGTTGAATAGGAATGTGAGAGAGGGCATCCCTGTCTTGTGGCAGTTTTCAAAGGGAATGCTTCCAGTTTTTGCCCATTCAGTATGATATTGGCTGTGGGTTTGTCATAAATGGCTCTTATTATTTTGAGATACATTCCATGAATTCCGAACTTATTGAGAGTTTTTAGCATGAAGGGCTGTTGAATTTTGTCAAAGACCTTTTCTGCATCTATTGAGATAATCGTGTGGGTTTTGTCTTTGGTTCTGTTTATATGCTGGATTATGTTTATTGATTTGTGTATATTGAACCAGCCTTATATCCCAGGGATGAAGCCCACTTGATCATGGTGGATAAGCTTTTTGATGTGCTGTTGGATTTGGTTTGTCAGTATTTTATTGAGGATTTTTGCATCGATGTTCATCAGGGATATTGGTCTAAAATTCTCTGTTTTTGTTGTGTCTCTGCCAGGCTTTGGTTTTGGGATGATGTTGGCCTCATAAAATGAGTTAGGGGGGATTCCCTCTTTTTCTATTGATTGGAATAGTTTCAGAAGGAATAGTACCAGCTCCTCCTTGTACCTCTGGTAGAATTTGGCTGTGAATCCGACTGGTCCTGGACTTTTTTTGGTTGGTAGGCTATTAATTATTGCCTCAATTTCAGAGCCTGCAATTGGCCTGTTCAGGGATTCAACTTCTTCCTGGTTTAGCCTTGGGAGAGTGTGTGTGTCCAGGAATTTATCCATTTCTTCTAGGTTTTCTAGTTTATTTGCGTAGAGGTGTTTATAGTATTCTCCGATGGTAGTTTGTATTTCTGTGGGGCCGGTGGTGATATCTCCTTTATAAATTTTTATTGTGTCTATTTGATTCTTCTCTCTTTTCTTCTCTATTAGTCTTGGTAGCAGTCTATCAGTTTTGTTGATCTTTTCAAAAAACCAGCTCCTGGATTCATTTATTTTCTGAAGGGCTTTTGTGTCTCTATCTCCTTCAGTTCTCCTCTGATCTTAGTTATTTCTTGCCTTCTGCTAGCTTTTGAATGTGTTTGCTCTTGCTTGTCTAGTTCTTTTAATTGTGATGTTAGGATGTCAATTTTAGATCTTTCCTGCTTTCTCTTGTGGGCATTTAGTGCTGTAAATTTCCCTCTACACACTGCTTTAAATGTGTCCCAGAGATTCTGGTACATTGTGTCTTTGTTCTCATTGGTTTCAAAGAACATCTTTATTTCTGCCTTCATTTCATTATGTGCCCAGTAGTCATTCAGGAGCAGGTTATTCTGCTTCCATGTAGTTGAGCAGTTTTTAGTGAGTTTCTTAATCCTGAGTTCTAATTTGATTGTGCTGTGGTCTGAGAGACAATTTGTTATAATTTCTGTTCTTCTACATTTGCTGAGGAGTGCTTTACTTCCAAAGCAAACAACTCTACTTGGTATAATTTAAGGGTTTTTTCCTCTGTAATTTATTTCTTACCAGTAGTAGTCTCATACAGAGGAGCTGCAGTTCACAGGCAATTCATAAGATATATAAATATTTGTCATATTCATCTTCTTCCATTCCAAAGTTATAAATCTTTTATTTTAATTTACTATAAATGTGTCCCTTCAATAATTTTCTTTTTAAATATACATTCTTTTGGGGAAAATATTGAGGTCAATATCATAGCACACAAAGCTGTTTCCCTAAAAAATGTCCCCTAGAAGCTTGGTCAATTTTAGAATAAGTGTGATGTGGTGCCAAGAACAACGTATATTCATTTGATTTGAGGTGGAGAGTTCTGTAGATGTCTATTAGGTCTGCTTGGTGCAGAGCTGAGTTCAATTCCTGGATATCCTTGTTAAGTTTCTATCTTGTTGATCTGTCTAATGTTGACAGTGGGGTGGTAAATATTCCCATTGTTATTGTGTGGGAGTCTGAGTCTGTTTGTAAGTCTCTCAGGACTTGCTTTATGAATCTGGGTGCTCCTGTATTGAGTACATATATATTTAGTATAGTTAGCTCTTCTTGTTGAATTGATCCCTTTCCCATTATGTAATGGCCTTCTTTGTCTCTTTTGATCTTTGATGGTTTAAAGTCTGTTTTATCAGAGACTAGTATTGCAACCCCTGCTTTTATTTTGTTCTCCATTTGCTTGGTAGATCTTCCTCCATCCCTTTATTTTGAGCCTATGTGTGTCTCTGCATGTGAGATGGGTCTCCTGAATACAGCAAACTGATGGGTCCTGACTCTTTATCCAATTTGCCAGTTGGTGTCTTTTAATTGGAGCATTTAGCCCATTTACATTTAAGGTTAGTATTGTTATGTGTGAACTTGATCCTGCCATTATGATACTAACTGGTTATTTTGCTCGTTAGTTGATGTAGTTTCTTCCTAGCATTGATGGTCTTTACATTTTGGCATGTTTTTGCAGTTGGTGTTACCGGTTGTTCCTTTCCATGTTTAGTGCTTCCTTCAGGAGCTCCTATAGGGCAGGCCTGGTGGTGACAAAATCTCTAAGCATTTGCTTGTCTGTAAAGGATTTTATTTCTCCTTCACTTATGAAAGTTAGTTTGGCTGGATATGAAATTCTGGGTTGAAAATTCTTTTCTTTAAGAATGTTGAATATTGGCCCCCACTGTCTTCTGGCTTGTAGAGTTTCTGCTGAGAGATCTGCTGTTAGTCTGATGGGCTTCCCTTGTGGGTAACCCAAAACCTGACCTTTCTCTCTGGCTGCCCTTAGCATTTTTTCCTTCATTTCAACTGTGGTGAGTCTGACAATTATACATCTTGGAGTTGCTCTTCTTGAGGAGTATCTTGTGGAGTTCTGTGTATTTCCTGATTTTGAATGTTGGCCTCCTTTGCTAGGTTGGGGAAGTTCTCCTGGATAATATCCTGCAGAGTGTTTTCCAACGTTGTTCCATTTTCCCTGTCACTTTCGGGTACACCAATCAGACGTAGATTTGGTCTTTTCACATAGTCCCATATTTCTTGAAGCCTTTTTTCGTTTCTTTTTACTCTTTTTTCTCTAAACTTCTCGTTTCATTTCATTCATTTGATTTTCAATCACTGATACCCTTCCTTCCAGTTGATCGAATCAGTTACTGAAGCTTGTGCATTTGTCACATAGTTCTCATGCCATGGTTTTCAGCTCTATCAGGTCATTTAAGGACTTCTCTACACTGGTTATTCTAGTCAGTCATTCATCAATTCTTTTTGCAAGGTTTTTGACTTATTTGCGATGGGTTCGAACTTCCTCCTTTAGCTTGGAGAAGTTTGATTGTCTGAAGCCTTCTCTCAACTCATCAAAATCATTCTCCGTCCAGCTTTATTCTGTTGCTGGCAAGGAACTGTGTTCCTTTGGAGGGGGAAAGGTGCTCTGATTTTTAGAATTTTCAGCTTTTCTGCTCTGCTTTCTCCCCATCTTTGTGGTTTTATCTACCTTTGGTCTTTGGTGATGGTGACGTACAGATAGGGTTTTGGTGTGGATGCCCTTTCTGTTTGTTAGTTTTCCTTCTAACAGTCAGGACCCTCAGCTGCAGGTCTGTTGGAGTTTGCTGGAGGTCTACTCCAGACCCTGTTTGCCTGGGTATCAGCAGCAGAGGCTGCAGAAGAGTGAATATTGCAGAACAGCAAATGTTGTTGCCTGATCATTCCTCTGGAAGCTTCGTCTCAGAGGGGTACCTGGCCATGGGAGGTGTGAGGTGTCAATCTGCCCTTAGTGGGGAGTGTCTCCCAATTAGGCTATTCGGGGGTCAGGGACCCAGTTGAGCAGGCAGTCTGTTCGTTCTCAGATCTCAAACTCTGTGCTGAGAGAACTGCTGCTCTCTTCAAAGCTGTCAGACAGGGACATTTAAATCTGCAGAGGTTTCTGCTGCCTTTTGTTTGGCTATGCCCTGTCCCCAGAGGTGGAGTCTGCAGAGGCAGGCAGGCCTCCTTGAGCTGTGGTGGGCTCCACCCAGTTTTAGCTTCCTGGCTGCTTTGTTTACCTACTCAAGCCTCAGCAATGGCGGGCGCCGCTCCCCCAGCCTCACTGCCACCTTGTAGTTAGATCTCAGACTGCTGTGCTAGCAATGAGGGAGGGAGGCTCTGTGGGTGTGGGACCCTCTGAGCCAGGTGCAGGATATAATCTCCTGGTGTGTTATTTGCTAAGACCCTTGGTAAAGTGCAGTATTAGCATGGGAGTGACCCGATTTTCCAGGTGCTGTGTGCTACAGTTTCCCTTTGCTAGGAAAGGGAATTCCCTTCCCCCTTGCACTTCCTGGGTGAGGCGATGCCTCGCCCTGCTTCAGCTCTCACTCGGTGGGCTGAACCCACTGTCCTGCACCCACTGTCCAACACGCCTCATGAAATGAACCCAGTACCTCAGTTGGAAATACAGAAATCACCCCTCTTCTGTGTCACTCAAGCTGGGAGCTGGAGGCTGGAGCTGTTCCTATTCGGCCATCTTGGAACCCCCCTCCACTAAATATTTTAAACACATGCCTGAACTCTGTTGAGCACCCTCATTTCTTGACTGGAATGTTCCGGTGGTCACATAACTGGCTTCCCTGCTTTCATTCTTGCATCTACTCCCAGTGCATCCTGGGATCTTACCCCAGCACAGGGGGATTAAGTCATCCTATTGCTGAAATTCCCCAGGGGCTCCTGTGAGTACATAAGTCCTTCTAGCCACCTGGCCCCCTTTTTGCTTCTTCAGTCACATCTGCTACCTGACATTTCCCCTTTGCCATAGAAGCTCAGTCATACCCAGGCTAGCCTTCTTTCTGTTTCTCTGACATGCCAGGCCCTTTCCTGTACTGGCTATTTCCTCTGTCCTCTTGATGCCACTTTTTGCCATGTAGATCTTGGCTTAAATGTCCTCTTCCCTGAGAGGCCTGTGCTGAGAAGCCACAGTCAGTCCCTGTTACACCACCCTATTTTGACATTGCCTTCCTGCTCCTGACCCTTTCTCACATTTTTTTTAAAATTAGTTTGTCAGCTGCTTCCCCTTAATTGAGCATAAGCTTCTTGAGTATATGTGTGCTATGTCTGATAAAAATTTAGGCGGTTTTGATTTTTTCTATTTTTCAGTTATTCTGTAATGTTGTTATATTGCTTTATAAATAGTCATAAAAAATATAAATGTATGCCCAGCTGGGGATTAGAGGCAAGAATGCAAGGGAAGGAAGGGGTGATTGGAGCACAGACATCTGGTAAGTTCTCTGCATTACCACAGAGAAAATAAAAATGTGTGTGCAGAGTGGCTGTGACCGTACTGAACTTTCTGAGCTTATTTTTGGGATGTCTAAAAGCCTCATTGCAGCTCATTTGTCTGATGAGCACTGCCTACCTGGCTGGCATCTCTTTAACTCTCTTCCACAGATCTTTAAACTTCATCATTGATTGGCTTTTGAGAATAATTCTTGTGTCTTTAAATATAAGTATGGAATGAATTGCAATAATTTGCATACTACTTGTTCCAAATGTCCTATAGGTTGACTTTGTGAAGAAACAATTGAAAACTGTCTTTGAAAGACTTAGCCTGGAGCAACAGAGAATAGAAAATGATCTTTCAGGCTGGAGTATAAAGGTAAGTGTGATGTGGCTAGTAATTTATGTGTTTTTCAATTTGTCATTTATGTTAAATAAAATAATTATATACTTTTTTTCAGATTCTAGGTCATTCTTTGGAAGAAAAGACTAACCTGCTTAGTGAACTGCCCATTGAATTAGAAAGTTTGGAATGCCCATACCCTGATTTGAAATCTTCAATCCACAGTGAGTTCTGTAAGTTTACACAGAAATATCAAAAGAAGCTTCAAGACGTTGATCTGCAGTTGGAAGACATATACAGGTGATATGATAAAACTTATTGAGTTCTGTGTAGACTTTTGACACTAACTTTTTGTTTTTGTTTGGGGTCACTACCAACTTACTGAATAGTTACTATGTAATTGGAATACAATTAATAAATGTTTAGATTGACTATTTGCTGAATGGAGAGGGTTTTATTTTTTCAAAAAGTTTCTTGACATAATAGTTCTTAATATTTTTGTAAGGTTAAGACATGTTGAAAACATCTCTCTTATTGAGCTCTTCATGACACAGATAAGAAATAGTTTTCAAATATGAATTTTCAGTAACCAGAACTTTCTTTTCAAGATATGAAGCTGCTCTGCAGTAATTGATACAGTGGAGAATGTACCCATGGAATTATGTTACTTGTAATTGACTGTAATTTTATCCTATGATAAACACAGAGTATGTTTTATAAATTAAAAAAAAAAATTTCTATGTGTTAAATTTCATTTTTAGGAAATAGACTTCTGGTTTTCTCCCAAGAGTGATTATCCACTTCTTCATGGTGAATGTAATGTTCAGTGGTTTAAAATTCAGTTTAGCAGTGGTCATCTTCTCTAGTGTCTTCTGTGTTAAAATTCGCTTAGATGACAAATCCAGATACACCACTCTGAACTAGATCAATGGTCTACCTTATAGTGTATATAAAGCTTCTAGGGGACATTTTTTAGGGAAACAGCTTTGTGTGCTATGATATTGACCTCAATATTTTCCCCAAAAGAATGTATATTTAAAAAGAAAATTATTGAAGGGACACATTTATAGTAAATTAAAATAAAAGATTTATAACTTTGGAATGGAAGAAGATGAATATGACAAATATTTATATATCTTATGAATTGCCTGTGAACTGCAGCTCCTCTGTATGAGACTACTACTGGTAAGAAATAAATTACAGAGGAAAAAACCCTTAAATTATACCAAGTAGAGTTGTTTGCTTTGGTGGCTTCCTGATCCAAACTCTTCAGTTATAGCTTCTATTTGTTTTAGCACATTTGTCAGTGATTAGAGCCAATTGTAGGTGAAGTTGGAGCCCTTTTTTTGACGTTAGCTTCTCCCCATCACATACCTTTTGGTCTCCTGATAGCCTTTCCTTCCCCATCTCTCTCCTTTCCTTTCTTCTTTCCTATCTTGCAGTAAAGCTGAGAAATAATAATACAATTTACACTTGATGATTGATTAATTACATGTTAACTGGAACTCAGTCATAGTGAAGTCCTAACTCAACCATGCACTACACTTAAGTTTCCAATTGTTAAATGAACATTCTCTTCCCACTTCCCATCCCAATCTTTTTAAAGAGATTTTAGAACTCATCAAGAAAGAGGAAGAGGATTTTTTGTTTGACAGTGGAGAGGGCATTATAATCAGACTGATTAACTGCAGCTGGGAAGAGGGTAGATCTGACCCTATCATTTAAAGCAAGTTGGCTGCCCCGGGACCTCCTCTCCCAGATGATACCTTGTCCCCTGAGAAAGCTGGCTGAGGTCATGATGTTTCTAGGTTAGTAACTCCTCAAGAGGAAGGAGTTTGCCTTAGCAGTCTAAAATGGCTTCCTTCCAGTAAGACTTATGCTTCACAGCCCATTTTCCTTCTTTCTTTTTAATCGAATCTCAATTTCTGCTCTTTCATAATGCAACCCTGTGTGACTCAGAAACAGTTGGGATTCACAGCTACATTACAATTACTGAAGATTAAGTGGAGGATTAGATGAATATATTTCACATGCTAACAATTCTGCAGAAGGAAGAAATATTGAGGATAAAATAGCTTAGGAAGGCTTGACGGAGCAAGTAAAATTCACTATGGACTTTGAAGAAGGGGTATGCTTAGCATAGGCAGAAGGGGGTGGGGAGGCATTCTTAGAAGGGAGATTAAATGACTAGACTGTAAACCCCTTGAGGATAAAGTAATTTAGTAGTTATATTTGTATCCTTAACATCTTCTAAATAAATGATTGTTCAATTGAGTTGAATTTGAAAGGAAAAACAATGAAGGAAAAGCATGTTATGGGAACAGTAGGAATCTACTTTGGAGGAATATAAAGTTCATAAATTCTAGTTTAATAGTCTGCTTGCCACCTATAATTATCCATAATACATTTTATTCAGTTGATGGTGTGTTTTACTTGACGAATATTTATTGAATAAAACTTAAAATACTGTAGTCATTGCAAGCTCCCTGGTAGGGGATTCAACAGACAGATTAGTTTTGTCTGTTTTGCCTCTGAGAAGGCTTGGAATATTTGGGAGAAGCAGCATATATACCTCTACCCTGACCAAATAAAAATAACATGCAAATGTCAACTAAAGAAAATATTTTATAAATATGCTGGCAGGAAATAATGAAGCATCAATAAAACCTGAATGAGGTTTCAGGAGTTGTGTCTTTGAGAAAAAAGAGTAAAAGAGCTATTTCTGAATAAATACAGAGGTGGTAGCTATCAGTAGTCTGTGGCTTTTGAGCAGTAAGCATAAAAGTATATTGTTCTACCTAGGACAGTGAATTATAGGTTCAATCATAATATTTGTACTTCCAGTTTAACAGTATCTTCACTACTTTGATATGGCCTTCTCCCCTCTTTGTTCTAGTTATTGGGTTCACATAGATTGTGTTCATGTATGTGGGAGTGTGCACATAGTTTAGACAGTTGTGCACTGCTATGCCATATGAAAGATGACATATCCAGACGGCATTGTTTAATTATAAAAGGTTTTCATTGGCAAAAGGCAGTGGACATCATGGTTAGTCCCAGTATTTATTCAATTCTTCCTATTTTGTAGTAGCTCGCTGGTTTGGTTTGAAATGACTCCATCTCTAAATCCAAAGGTAGGCAGTGATAGGGAGTATGTACCAGTCAGTGCAACCTCATTTCCCCAGGTCACAGTGACTAGCTCAGGGAGGTCTAATCCAGATGAATATACATCACATGCTGATATGGTTTGGCTGTGTCCCCACCCAAATCTCACCTTGAATTGTAATAATCCCCATGTGTCAAGGGTGGAGTCAGGTGGAGATAATTGAATCATTGGGGCAGTTTCCCCCATACTGTTCTCATGGTAGTGAATAAGTCTCGAGATCTGATAGTTTTATAAATGGGAATTCCCCTGCACAAGCTCTCTTGCCTGCCACCATGTAAGATGTGACTTTCCTCCTCCTTTGCCTTCTGCCATGAGTGTGAGGCCTCCCCAACCATGTGGAACTGTGAGTCAATTAAACATCTTTCTTTTATAAATTACCCAGTCTTGGGTGTGTCTTTATTGGCAGCGTCAGAACAGACTGATACACATGCTAATATTTCTACAGAGGAAAGAACCATTGAGGATAAAATAACTTAGGAGGGTTGATGGAGGAAGCAAAATTCACTATGAACTTTGAAGAATGGGTAGGGTTAGCATAGGCTACCCTGAGCAAAGCTCAGGACTTTTGTTAGGTACTTGTGGGAAGCAGTATCTTTTCTTCTGCATGGATGTTACCAAGAAAGCACATGGCTGAGGTTGCTGCTGGCATCATCTGGTGACCGAAGGAAGACAGCTCTTAAAGACAGGGCAGAGCCCTGGGAGTCCTGGAAAAACTGAGCTGGTGCCTTATTTGAATGGCATGAGAAGTCCACCTCACTGCTTTAGTTTTAAGGGCCATTGGTCCAATTATTGTCTTAAACCAGTGTGACTTGGGTTTTTAATTGTTTGCAACTAAAAACATCCCTAATTCAATACAGTAATTGATTTGGCTTCAAAATATCCATGACTGATGGAATTAATCTGAAAAATTCTTAAATATATTCCAATTTATTAGGAAGATTAAGCTTGTAAAATCAGCCAAACTTTAAAAATCAAGATTAACTAGTGGTGGAGGGATGGGACTTGCACAGCCAAATATAAATACATATTTTAAAATAAAAATAAATTAGAAAGTTCTATGTGACTATGGAGTATGTAGCAGATCAGTGGAACAAAATAGAAATAAAAAGAAAACAGAAAAATATAATGATTTAATTTATTATAAAGGCTAGTTTCAAAACTGGGGTAATATCAGATTATTAAAGAGATAGCATTACATAATAGGCAATTGGAAGATAAGGTTAGATCTCTTCATTCTATTTGACTCAAGAAACTCCAGATGCATTAAGATATGAAGAAAGAAAATCATAAAAGAACAAGATAAAAATAAAAATAAATAACCTTGAAGTGGAGAAGGCCATTCAAAGCCTATTATTTTCAGTGAAACTCATAAAGAAATAGTTTAAATAAATACAATGGCATAAATATTTTTTAAAATCTAGCATTATCGTTTCTCAGAGAAGTTTTAACTCTAGAAAATAGAGACTTCTGGTTTCCAGTCTAGCATGTAGAAACATAGTTGCCACTCGCTTATTACAACAAAGAAAAAGCTGAACAAACTGAAAAATCAACAGATCGTCTTCGATCTTTCAGATAAGTGAGACTACAGTACAAAATGCTTCCCCCAAAATTGGAGAGACAGAAAGATACAAAGAATTACAACCTACTGGAGCAGAAACACATGAGCAGAAACCTCTGCAGGAACCAATAATGAGCTAAGAAACCCTGAACCATAATTGATAAACTGCTAGAGATGCACTGTGGACAACTCTGAGAGTTAAAAACTCCAAGAGGACCCAATCCTAGGAGGCACTCCACACTTTTATGAGTTTTACACCAGGAGCTATATCAGGTCCTCACTGATATGTAAATATCTGAGAAAAATTCCCTTTTGCTTCTGGTAGCAGGAGGATAAAAGGAACCAACTTGATCTATGCATTCAATGCAATCCCCGTCAAAATCCCAGCAAATTAGTTTTTGGATATTGACTAGCTAGCTGATTCTAAACTTTATGTGGAAAGATGAAAGACCCAGATAGCCAGATCAATATTGAAAGAGAAGAGCAAAGTTGGAGGACTGATACTCCCAAACTTCAAGACTTACCATAATCAAGATTGTGTGGTATGGCCAGAGAATAGCCAAGCAGATCCATGGA